GCTTCCTGGGACACGCCCACGAGCCCCCACTTTTGCTCCTCGCGATGAGAGCCATCCAGTGAGGCGTCCGTCCTTCTCTCTTGGGAGCCCCGCGAGGTTCTCGCGCGCTGCGTGTCGTCCGCGCCTGCAGGCACCTGGGCAGCCGCCTTGCGCTGCGACGCAAAAGTCGCGCGCCTGCGGCAGGACCCCCCGCCCGAACGTCACCCGCGCGCCGCCCCGAGCGTCACCGCGCGCCGCCGACAGCCCCGGGCGCACCGGCAGGATGGAGCTGCTGGCCGGCTGCTACGAGCAGGTCCTTTTCGGCTTTTCTGTGCGCGCGGAGCCGGCAGCGGACGGCGGCCCTGGGGTGAGAGCGGCGCGGAGGCCGAGGTCGAAGCGGTGTGGCCCCCACGTGGACGCGGGCGCTCGCCTGGTCCTCGGTGACCAGGCCCGGGAGGCCCCGGCGGACCCTAGCGCCCTGGCTAGATGCGTCCCGGACTCGGGGTCGCCCCCGTAGTCGGAGTCAGTTTCTGGGTTCGGGATTTAGTGCGGAAACTGCTCTTGCCTGTGTTTGTGTGCGGGGGTTTTGCCAACGGGTAGCGCGGGTCAGGCCAAGTCGCCCACTCGCACAGGGCCTGGCGGGCTCCCCCGGTGCGGGGGGTCCTTGCGGGGCCTCTCGCGGCGAGGTGCGGAAGAGGCAAAGGGTAAAGGGATGGAGCCCGTGCTAGAGTCGTCCCAGGAGTGGGGGACAGCTGGAGACGCCCATCTGCAGAGAACGTGCAGCGGAGGGTAACGGCAGGAATCCAAAGATGGGGATGTTGCGGTCGTCTAGCAGCTGGGAAGCGAGCCACTGCGCCGCGTCCAGTGGCTCGTAGGCACCTTCCTGAGTCGGTGGCATAGGGCGCTGCTGTGGGAAGGTGTCACCTGCCAGCCTCGAGCCAGTGGACTGGTGGATTTGCCCGATGGCTTTTGCTTCCTCGCCTGAATTTGCCTGACAAATAGCGGAGTTGGGTCTGTAAAGGTGACCCTACTGGTGTGTCTCCCCCGCTGTGTGGCAGACGCACTAGTCGGGGCAGCAGCCCACAGCAGCAGCAGGCGCACCAGGCTCGTTTCACAAAGCAGGAGCTGGACGCTGGGACTGGGACATAAGCTCCGAGGCCAGCAGACTGGGGTCCTCAGCCGCCGTCTGACCCTTGACACCCTGCACAGGACGGTGACGGCCCTTCACTGCCCCCAGCCTGCCTCTCACCTCTCCTGACCTGCTTCTCCCTGGGCCCTGCAGCCCGCAGGCATCATGTGCTCAGAAGAGCTCCCCTGGCTTCTGGTCGAGGGGGACTGCTGCTGCCCTCACAAGTCCACTTGCGGTGACCGTCTTCTTGTGTCACAGGAGCCGACTGGGTTTTGTGTTCCCTGCGGGTGGGAGAGGAGCCCTGCTGCTCGCTGACGCTCCTGCCATCTCGTTCAGCTCACGGTGCTTGTGTCTAGCTGCCGTCCTGTGCTTTTGAGTCCAGAAGGTCCACATTGGTCAGTGGGCTTTCTGGGGGCTCCTGGTGGCTCCAGAGGAGGCTTCTCTGCCCCATTGGTGTTTCTTTCCAGCTCTGGTGGCCATGCCCATGTGGCAGAGGCCCGGTTATTTAGCTGTCTGTGGGCCCGCAGGAGTGGCTGCCCATCAGAGCAGGACTGCTGACCGGCCCATGCTCACTGCTGTGCTCAGCGAAGGACTCGGTGTTTGAGTCCGGGCATGGCAAGAGCCAGCGGTGTCGCGTGGCGGGATGCTGGATTTCACGTGGCGGGATGCTGGATTGGGCCTGGCTGGGCCGGCCCGGGCCATAAGGCCACTGTTGCCACCGGCCATCTCCCCTTTACCTCCAGCAAAGTTCTCGGGCTCCGGGTCTGTGCACTTCCCGCCCCCGACTGCGGGCCCACAGGTGATTTGCGTTGGTGGGCGCTGGCTCCCGTGCGGTGTCTGCGGCACTGACCATCTCACTGTGTTTCGGCAGAAGTGGACCCCGGCGGCCGACTTCACCCACCACGCCCACACGGCTTCCCTGTCCGCTGTGGCTGTCAACAGTCGCTTCGTTGTCACTGGAAGCAAAGATGAAACGATCCACATTTATGATATGAGGAAGAAGGTGGACCATGGGGCGCTGGTGCACCACAGCGGTAAGGTGGTTCTCCCAGGTGGGGCCGGCTGTGCCACTGACGTTGCATGCAGCTCCTCAGGTCTACACTTGGAGCTGCCCGTCAGGAACCAGGGCTGCAGAGGATGGCGGGAGGGTGTGGTCAAGGCCGGTACGTCATCCGGGAAACTTCGGGTTGGTGCCGCTACCTGGGTCACAACCCTGGGCCAGAAACGTGACCCTCACAGCAGCCTGTTCGGTGCACGGGGCGGTTGTAGGGAGGCTCAAGGGAGGCAGAGCAGCAGAGGAAAGGTGGGGCCCCCACCGCCCCACGCTGCTGGTGGGGAAGTGGGAGGCAGGGGCCAGTGTGGGTTTGAGGAAGTGCAGGCCGGTGGGAGAGAGGCTGGTGACAGTCACCGCCGCCTGGTGGAGGCAGCAGTTGTGGGAGCTGCGGGACCCTCTAGAGAGGAGGGGCGCGGGGCATCAAGGGGGCGCGAGTGTCAGTGGCAGGTCTGCCGGAACCACGTTGCGTGGGGTCCTGGGCCCAAATTCAGCACAGGGGTGTGCCGGGAGGCTCGATGCTGGGGGCTGCACTCGGGCCGCCCAGTACCGGTGGAGCCGCCGTGTGCAGGGTCCCTGGTGGCTCTGTAGCCCCCTGGCTGCCAGGTTGTGGCAGGCCCAGAGAGTAAGGCCACCGCTTTCTCGGCACTGAGTGTCAGGTGCTGGGTTTGTGGGTTTGTGGGGATGCGGACCTGAGCATCTGAGGAGAGCGAGAGGGAGGACAGGTGGCAGAGTCAGGCGCACCGCAGAGCTCTGCATAAGTCGTGCCCTGTGGTGGCGGGTAGTGCCCCAGCGCCCCGCTACAGCCCAGGCAGCAGGCATCTCCCTCCAGGAGACGCTCTCGGCCGAGGGGATGCTTCTCCAGCGACGTCAGCTTGATATTCCCCTCTGCCCCGGCCTCTCTCTGTCCAGGGAGGACCCCAACCTCGGGGCTGGGCTGGGTTGGCCTTTGTGCTCAGCCATGCAGGGGACGGCATAGAGCGCTGGCATGGGCACAGAAATGTGGCCTGAGTTCCTGCCTCCCTCAACGGCGGAGAGCCTCTGGCAGGGTCCCCACCAGTAAGCATGAGGGTCCCCGTGTCATTGAGGCTGCCTGGACACAGTGACTCATCAAAGGCCCCTGGCTCTGGTGAGGGACAGCGCCGGGATCCGTGGGCTGGTGCGCAAGGGACTGGACAGTGGCTCGCTGTCTGCCAGGAGTGGCAGGGCGGTCCCTGTTTACGCCTCTGCGCAGGCCACTCCCAGTGGCCCACACCGGCTGTGACCCAACTCCTGGACAGTGAACGCCCACCAGGCGTGCGGAGCCCCGAGTGGCCTCGGCTACACGGAGGCGGCTGGTCACTGTGAGCTGGCGTTGACGGAAGTGGAGTCTCATTCCGTGTGACCTTGGCTCTTGGTTTTCTCACAGGCACAATTACTTGCCTCAAATTCCATGGCAACAGGCACCTGATCAGCGGGGCCGAGGACGGGCTCATCTGTGTGTGGGACGCCAAGAAGTGGGAGTGCCTCAAGTCCATCAGGGCGCACAGGTGAGGCCACCCGCCCGCCCACTGGGCTGCTGTCTGGGTACTGCCGGGCGCTCACGTCGGCTTCCTTTCAGGGGACACGTGACCCACCTCTCTGTTCACCCTTCTGGCAAGTTGGCGCTGTCCGTGGGTACGGACAAGACTCTGAGGTGAGCCGCTAGTCCCGAGGCGTCCTCGCAGGTCCTGGCGTTTGCTGCGTGTCACCAGGCGCTCTGTGCTGCATCCAGGCGAGGTGGCCCTCGCAGCGAGCGGGGACACAGATGCCAAGCTGTGCATGTTGCCTGCCAGCGGTTGTGCTCTTGGGGGCTGCAGTGACTGGCCTAGAAGGGAGAGCGCTGGGGAGCAAAAATGGGTGCTCGGGGCAGTGCAGGGCCAGGGTGTCTCGGCAGCCAGCCTCGGCCAGGGCCCGTGAGCACCGCTCCGTCCTGCGCGCTGGCACATGCAGTCAGTGGCGGGGTCACCTGAGAGTGCTTCCTGTCTTGCAGAACTTGGAATCTTGTGGAAGGGAGATCAGCCTTCATAAAAAACATAAAGCAAAGTGAGTATTTGCGTGTGGGGTCGGGGGCCTCATGTAGACCAGGGGACTCAGGTGCACCACCGTGGGTGGGCGGCTCCCTCGCAGGTGTGCGCCTGTGGTGGCTCCACGCAGCCGGCCTGTGACCTCCGAGCTCATTTGAAGCGAGCTTATTGTTTAAACTCAGCTTGGAAAGCCTGTGTCATGGATTTGCTGAAAAGGTTACATGAAAGAGCAAGTTCGAGCTGCACAGTGTAAATGTTCGCTCTGTTTGCTCCTGTGACCTTTTCCTCTCTGGTTTCTTGTTTGTGGGATTTGGAACCGTGTGCATGTGCTCACAGATGCCCACATAGTGGAGTGGTCCCCCCGAGGGGAGAAGTACGTGGTCGTCACACTGAACCAGATAGATGTCTACGAGCTGGGCACGGCATCAGTCAGCGGCACCATCGCCAGTAAGCGGAGGGTGTCCTCCGTCAGCTTTCTTTCCGTGAGTGTGGGGCGGTGGGTGGTGGGGGCCGGGGCGGGCTGTGGGTGACCTGCGGGCCTCCTGCCTTCTAGGAGTCTGTCCTCGCGGTGGCTGGCGACGAAGACGTGGTTAGGCTTTTTGACTGCGACTCACAGGTGTGCCTCTGCGAATTCAAGGCTCATGAAAACAGGTACTTTTGCCATCTTGGGGTGTGCCCCTGTGCAGCGTGTCTGTCAGGTACGCCAGCTCCGTACGCTCAGTTTCCAGATGAGAGGTGTCGGGGCTAGTTGGCAGTACGGGGTTCCTTGCTCTGATATCTTATCAGAGGCCTGCACAGTCAACTCTGCGTCCAGGAGCTGGCGCCCAGCCCCTGGCCTTCTGTCCCTCACCCCTTCTCACAGTCCTGAGGGAGGCAGTGACACATGTGACCATAGCCATCCCTTCCTGCTCCTTCGCCTCCTTGGGCCAGGCTTCATCTGGGCCATGGCTCAGGGGTGGGGCCTTGCCAGGCTGGGTGGTGAGCTGGGGTCACCTCACCTTCTGATTGCCCGTGCAGACCTCTGCACCACATGCGGCTCCAGCCGTCTGGCACTGGCTCCCACGCTCGCCCCACCAGCAGGCCGAGCCCCTGAATGCCCCTGCTGGAGTCAGGACGACCGCTTTCCCTCAGCTCTGCCCCCCTCGGGCCCTCATGTTCTTGGTGACCACGCTGTGGGGGGGCTGCCCGGGAGGGGGACAAGTGCCCAAGCACAGGGTGACGGGGAAGGGTGTGAAAGCTTTTTCTGATAAGGGGAGAGGACCCACGCCAGGGTGGGGTGGGGGGGCGGGGGGGGCGGAGATAGCCAAGTGTGTATGGATCACATGGACCTGTGTGCCATTCAGAGCGGCCTCCTGGGTCACAGGAGGTGTCCGAGCTCTGCTGAGAAGCCACTGCACGGGCAGTACTCAAGCAGATCCCAACGTGTGGGTCTTCAGCTGGGAAGCGACGTGCTTTGATGCGCATCTGGGAGATCACTGTGGTGGGCTCGCAGCAGAGAGGCAGACAGGTGCCCCCAGGGCCCCAAAGACAGAGGCCGGAGGCCTGGAGATGCACAGTAACGGCCTGCCGTCTCTGCACAGGCGCACCTGTACTCAGCTAGGTCCTCACCAGGGCTCTGCGTCCCATCCTCTGACACCTGGTGACTGTCACCTGTCCTCCAGCGCACGTGTAAGCACATAACAGTGCACCTCGTCCTGGACTTCGGGCCCTGCCACTGGTGCACTGAGCGGGGCATGAGGCAGCTGGGGTGGGCGTCACGCAGGGTGCTAGGCATCGGGTCTGGCAGTCTGCCCCGTTGCTGGGTGGGCGGGTGGGGGGGTGGCTTCAGCGGTGCTGTCCCTCCCTGCCAGGGTGAAGGCCATGTTCAGCTTCGAGACTCCTGAGCATCACATCATTGTCACAGCCTCCAATGACGGCTTCATCAAAATGTGGAAGCTCAATGAGGACCAGGTCGGTTGTCACACGTGGTCACGTGTATGCAGGCCCACTGGCGGGGCCCTGTGTGAGCATGGGGTGCACTTATGGTCAGGAGGTCGCCTCCTCCAGGCAGATCCACGGTCGTGGTTTTCAGTTTGGGGCACCACGGAGCTGCCTGGCTGTGCTATCAGAGCTGGCTGGGTGCAGAAACCTACACGAAGCACTGGGTTCTTTCTGCTGTCCAGGAGGTGTTCTTAGTCAGGGTAGCACAGTTGCTAAATGGGGAGAAGTTCTGACGGATCATGGACATACAGCTTTGGACTAAAGTTTGGAAAATTGAGCTCCTGGCGGGTCACACAAGGCTGTGTGTGTGTTTCCTGTGCTCCCCAACATGGCTGTGCTCTCAGTGGTGCCTCCTGTGTCCTGGACATTCTCAGAGCCAAGTCCAACCGAAAGCCGGGGCTTCTCTGAGAGGCATGTTCATACCTGGGGGTGCAGCAGGCTCTGGATTAAGGTAGCTTGGTAGCACCATCACTCTGTCTTGTGTTCTAGAATGTCCCCCCGGTGTTACTGTGTGAAGTGAATACCAGTGCCAGGCTGACGTGCCTCGGGGTGTGGCTGGACAGTGCTGAGGGCCCCAGAGAGAGCCTGGCGGAGCCTCTCCCTGGTAAGTGGGGTGGGTGGTGAGGGTACGCCCCCCCCACCACTCCCTTAGATGGATGGCACCCAGAGGCCCCTTCCTCGTCAGCCTGAGCGTTCCAAGGGAGAAGGGCTTTCAGGGCTTGTCTCTTGTGTTTTAGTAAATAAAGAACAGTCCAGAGTCAGCAAAAAGGCAGCTGGAGGTGCGGTACAGGAGGAAGAAGGGCAGCCGGAGCCAGGGAGGCCGAGTGCTGCCCCACAAGGCCCCCGGGCCGAGCCCACTGCGGGGGACAGCCTGGTGCCCGGCAGGAAGAGGAAGGCCACAGCCCTGCCAGGGAAGAAGAGGAGGAAGAGGGGGAAGGTGTGACTGCGGCCGCTTCTGACGGCGGGTGTGTTTCCAGGGCGCTTCCACTTTCTGAGTGGAGGCTCGGAATTGCCTCTTCTGGAGAAAAGTGCAGCTTAGAAAAGATCACCAAGTCACTGCCAAGTGGTTTTCTTAACATGCGAAAAGCTTTGCAATGGGTGGCGTTTCTGAATCACATGTCACGGTGATGTGTGTTAGTATGTAATATAACTTTTATTATTGTCTAAAGGAAATAAAGATTTTTCTTAGAATGCTGCCATTTTACAGCTATAAATCTCACACATTTTCTACCAGCTCATGTTTGGATCTTTTCTCCTAAATGGGAGAAGAACCCCTCCCTCTGCCTTCCGGCGTTTCTAGTAACTACAGGATTCCGAGATTCTGATCATTTCAGTGCAGGTTTCGTTCATTGTGGTAACAGTGTGCAAAGATGGTCGTAACAGCAGGTGTGTCGGACACGTAATCGCATGTGCAGTGAAGCAGACGTGAAGCCCGCCCCATGTGGGCCTGATACGGCGGGGCTAGTCAGCATGATGCCACGGCCGTCTCCTTCCACGCCAGCCTCTGGGAGTCCCTGGTCGGCTGCCCAGGGCGTGGCCTCGGTTCAGTCCCGACAGCAAAGGCCTCTCCTCACCTGGGGCAGTGACACTTCCTCGGCAGGTCTCCGCAGGTTTGCAGAGACTGTTCCCAAGGATCCCGGAGTGAGTCTGCTGCAGTGTCCAGTGCCTGAGGCCAGGGCAGCCCCCATCAGTGCTTGGGCACCCACTGTGTGCATGCCACATGCGGCCACCTCGTACGCAGCCGAACTGCCGATCTGCCACACTTACCACTCTCGGGGCCAGCGAGCGGGTTTACTTGTCACAGCAGCTTTAGTTTAGGTTAACTGACAGAATCAGGAAGAAGCCAGAGGGTTCCCAAATGCCTGTCCCCCGTGTGTGTAACCCCGTGAGAAGCACCCTGCCCATGCACTGTTCATTGTTTCAGCCAAGTGTGCGCCTTCCTGGCCTCTGGTCCTATGCGCTTGTGGTGCTGGCTGTGGCCCCCCTTCCCCACCTGGTGCTGTCCAAGGTCCTGCCTTTGACCGCCCTGGAGCTGGGGCCTCACAGCCTGCACTGCTCCCACAGGCCCCTGGCAGAGACCCTCGGGGACACGCTGCCTCCTTGTCTCTCCAGAGCTGCTGTTGTGTCTCTAGCACTGAGTTACATCCACTGGCGGGCACGGCGCGTACTCGCTGGCCCACTCGAGGACATGGTTGCTCCCGGGTTTGGTCATGGGCAGGTTTCTGTGTGACGTGAGTTTTCAGCTTTGGGTTAAGTGTGGTTGCTGGATCGTGAAATATATTTAGTTTTAGAAGAAGCTACCAGGATGTCTCCCCAGGTGGTAGCACCGTCTTTGGGGGTGGGAGGGGTGGTGGCTGGCTGCGCATGCTCATGCGATACGAGTGTGCTTAGGTGCTTGGCCTTTGGTTTTTCTTTTGGTCCTTTTTTTTTTTTTTAGTAATATAATAGTTTATTTTTACATCATTTTGTGCATATCAGTTGTAATCCCCATGGCCTTCCCATCACCAGATCACCCGTGTGCCATCACTGGTCCATTTTTTTTAAGTGATTTTTCTTTTTATTTATGCACACAAGAACTGGGGTACAGGCCAGAGGCATGGGGGTGAGAGGACTCTCCAGAGATAGAAAGGGAGCAGAACAAGTAGACTGAAGTCTGCTATGGAGGGGGCAGCGGGGAGACAGGAGGGCCTGCCGCTCCCAGGGGTGAAATGGACTCAGATTCTCACCACGATGGCCCAAGACTCAACCCATAGGCCGCCAGGGAGGCCCAGGGTCCTTTGTGTGCTTGGACAACCATTCTTTACCAGAAGTCTGTTTTGCGAGTACTTCCCCAGCCCGGCTTCTCATTCTCGTCTTTGCTGAGGTTTTCACTGTACCGAAGCCCGACTCACCAGCTCGGGGGTGGGGGGCGCCTGTGTCGGGAATTCTAAGTGACTGTCTGGACAGGGGCAGTCTCACATTTGCATTAAATCTAGTTACTTTTGGGGTCATTTTGGGACGGCCGTCAGATCTGCTCGTGGGGCTGTGTGCCCATCACCCCGTCTCCTGTGCCTCTTACAAAACTGGGGAAATCCTCGACACCCCTGGAGACTTCACATGGTGCTCCTTGCAGCCACCTGCCCAGCCCCACCGGGCGGGTCGGCTCACCGTGAAGTCACTCAGGGAAGCTTCTGTGGTTTGCTGCGTCTGGGAAATACACATGCTAGGATCACCAGCTGTTAAAACTCGTGTGGCCTTTCACCATAAGGATACACTGGCCCTTTTGTCCCTGTACTTCAGGTCATGAGGGTGGTCTGTCAAGACTAACCTGACCTTTTGAAAACAGCCGTTCCCAGGCGTCCATGCCTGACTGTCCTGGGGAGCAGACGTCTCCGATGTGAAGATGAGGCAGAGCTTCCCTGGCAGTGAAGACGTCCTGACTCCAGCGCCAGTCGCTGCAGTGCCAAGCCCTTCCCCCCTCTGACCCAGGGCTTGACGTTTGCTCTGTGGTTCTGTGCAGCTGGCCTGGGCTGCCCCTAGCTCATGGTTCCGGACCTGGCAGGTTGTGCACATAAGGGGTCAAAGCAGCTGCGTCCCTTGTGCGTGGGTATGTTATGAGGGGTCTGACCCCAGAGGGCAGATGCGTGATGTTCTTGGTGAGTATTCGCTTGTCTCTTGCTTCACAAGGGGATGTCAACAGAAACTTTGGAATCTGAGTTACATAATATGGTCGTATCTGCCCTTAGGAGTTGGCAGGTTCAAACTCCAGAGATTTGGGGTTTTGTTTTATTTAGAAACACCTGACGTGGGGTTCATGGCTTTGAAATTCCAGCCTTGGTGCCGAAACTGTTCTAGACGTGGATGTGGGTGATGCAGATGGGTCCTGGTGCTGAAGGGCCTGGCACAAACCCAGCCTCCACTCTGCACTGTGCCTAACTGAGGCCGGGGTGTAGAGAGGATCTGCAGCGGCTACGGGTACCCACCAGGCCCGCGCTGCCTCGGATGTCAGTGAGGGCGAATGACCGGGAATGACCACGTGCCTCAGTGTCACTGATGCACTCCCCAACCGTGCAGGCAGCCAGGAAGGGCTGCAGGAAGAGAACCCACGCAGGCTTGTCCATGATGGCTTTTGCCTGGTCGCCGAGGGCAGCCTGGCGGTGAGAGGCCGGGAGGGGCGCACGCGTGGGCCTGCTAGCCGCGTCAACGCTGGGCCTCAGCGCTGGTACCACAGATGAGCTAGAGGGCTGGTACCCACAGATGAGCTGGTACCCACAGATGAGCTAGAGGGGCTACGCCCCAGCCCCTAGGTGAGACGGTGTGGGCCCCGCCCCCGTGAAAAGCCGGGTGTGGGCCCCGCCCCCCCGAAGGCGCCCCGCCCCCGCGACGAAGCGAGTGTGGGTGCCCCATGACGCTCTCAGCGCGTGAGGAGCCGGGTACGGGACCCGCACCCCGGGACCCGCACCCCGTGATGAGCCCCGGCTGTGAGCCCCGCCCCCCGGAGGCGCCAGCCCCGCGACGAAGCGAGTGTGGGTGCCCCATGACGCTCTCACCGCGTGCGGAGCCGGGTACGGGACCCGCACCCCGTGATGAGCCCCGGCTGTGGGCCCCGCCCCCAGGCGCCCCGCCCCGCGACGATCCGAGTGTGGGTGCCCCATGACTCTCTCACCGCGTGCGGAGCCGGGTACGGGACCCGCACCCCGTGATGAGCCCCGGCTGTGGGCCCCGCCCCCGCGCGCCCCGCGACGATGCGAGTGTGGGTGCCCCATGACGCTCTCACCGCGTGCGGAGCCGGGTACGGGACCCGCACCCCGGGACCCGCACCCCGTGATGAGCCCCGGCT